CAAACAAAAAGGCTAGCTTCTTGAAGCAATCAATAGAAACGGCTTGCATGTTGCCAAACCATTTTTGGGCAATACCCTTCAATGTAGCCGGGAAGCATCGACACTAAGTGGCATCGTCCCACCCCTGTAAACACATGAGGTTGGTGTATGCCATCAGGTGGTCTTCTGGGTTGGAGGTACCATCATAAGTACCTACCAACACATTCTTAAGCTTGGCCGGCTGAGCCGCCTCGATTATATTCGTGGTGAACGCAGAGGGTTGGTCACCAAGTTTGAGCAGTCGAAGCTGTCAGTCCAAAGGTTGGACACTGTTGAATGTTGCCTGTCCCCTAAAAGGAAACGACTGCATGTTTGAAAAACCATATTGTCCGTATTGCGCCTGAGGTGCAAACGGGACAGATCCTATCATCATTTGAGGATCAGTGTTGACGGACTTGCCGCCTGTCCCACTGTCATGTATGGAGAGTGAGTTTCGCACAAAAGTTTGTTTGAAGCTGTCTGGAAAGTTCGAGGTGGAGGCTAACTTAGACAGTCGCTGGTGTCTCCTTTGCTCAATGATCTCTCGAGCATTAGAAACAGTCTTTTTTGGCCCCCGGCTGTTCTTGCCGGGTGTGCCTTTAAGGACCCTTAGGCATAAGGATCTTGGTCCAATCAAATCTTTCGACTTCCTCCTCGTTCCCCTTGGGATGAGGAGTAGGCTGCCTGTCCTTGACCGGCTTCTTCCTCCCAGATGGAGGTGTCTTCTTAATCGGCTGACCCTTGCTGGAGCTAGCCTTGTTTTTGATGATCATCTCCTTGATTACACCCTTGAAGGAGTTCATGAAAGTCATGAGCTCATCCCGGGTGACCGGGGCTGATCCTCTGGCCTTCTGGATTTCTCCTTCTGGCCTCCTAGTGGGTCGGACTCGACCCACCTAGTTTTCTTCATGTTCTAGCTGATCTCTGGAACGAGTGTATTTGGAGATGAATGAGCTGTCTTTGGCCACATATGTCTCCACATCATCATCGTCATCATGGTCAGTGAAGACCTCTGGCTGACGTACCAGTGGAGTAACGCTTGAACTACCCGGTTGATTAACCTGGTTGAGAAATGCTTTTATTACCCAGTCTGGTAATAGATTGAGGATTATTCGGATCAAGAGGTGGTACAGACTCTTGAACCATCTTTGAGGTATTCTCCCCACAGATGGAGCCAAATGTTTTGGGTGTTTTTGTCCCTCGGGAGGGTTACGTCACAAAGTCTGGTCCGGCGTGAGCTATACCTGCAAAAAAACGGAGACTCCAGGTGGTTGGAGCTCCGCCTCCGGCGATCAAGTTAGTAACTTGAATAGGAGTAAAAAGGTGCGGAAATTTAGGTGGTTATCTGCTCGGATTCCAAGCTCAGGATGTCTCTATCAAAGAGTAAATGTGTAATAAATGGAAAAACGTTCCTCCAAATGGAGGAAATTTCCCTATTTATAGGGTCCTCGGGAATTATGCCCCTGATTAAGTCATCAAGCCCTAATCATTGGTGGGCTACGCCGCATTGCGGCTTTCTCGGGATTTAGGCCATGAAGGCCGCCTTTTTTCCCATTCCTTTGGGATGACACGTGTCAAACAGGGGTTGATCCATTTTGGACTAACCTTAAGGTAACACTGTCACTTTCTGGTTGGACCACGTGTCAGGGTAAAATTGCCCCAAACAATAACTACGTACCTTTGTTTTTTAGAAATGATAGAGTTTTGATTGTGATGCGTTCCAACTTCTTTGTATCTTTTCCTTCTGCGCTCTTGAATATGTAGGCTCCGTTGCCTACTACCTTGATGATTTCGTATGGTCCTTCCCTGTTGGGTGCTAGCTTTCCTGTGTTTACTTCTTTGGTATTTTCGTATACCTTTATGAGGAGCTAATCTCCTAATTTGAAAACTTTTGCTCCGACATTCTTGTTGAAGGACCTTGCTACTTCTTGCTGGTACGCCGCCATCCTCATCCTTGCGTCTTCCCCTAATTCCTCTACCGTGTCTAGGTTGTGCATTAGTTCAGCTTGGTTCCTTTCTTCTGTCATCAAGCCGTACCTTGCTGTGGGGGACTTCTACCTCTGTTGGGATTACTACTTCGCATTCGTACACTAATGAAAAGGGGGTGTAACCCGTGGCGCCTTTTGGAGTTGTTCTGTCTGCCCACAATATGTTGGGTAGTTCATCTGCCCATTTCCCTTTTGCTCCTTCTAACCTTTTCTTCATGTTGCTTATTAGGACCTTATTGCTTGACTCTGCTTGTACATTTGTTTGTGGGTATCTTGGTGTAGACGTGATGAGGGAATGTTCCACTCTTTACAAAACTTTGTGGTTTTGTTGTTGATGAATTGGGACCCGTTGTCTGTAATGATCTCTGCTGGTACTCCAAATCTGCTTTGGATGTTCCTTTTGATAAATAAGATAACGTGCTTATCCTTGATTTCCTTGTATGCTTCTGCTTCAATCCATTTTGAGATGTAATCCGTCATTGCTAAGAAGTACATCCTCTGTCCTGACGATAGAGGTAATTTTACTATGTCCATTCCCCACTTCATGAATGGCCAAGGTGTCAATGTTGCGTGCAACTCTTCAAATGGCTTATGTGTTAAAGGTGCTTGTTTCTGGCATGCTAGGCACTTCTTGGCAAATTCTACGGCGTCCTTTCTCATGCTGGGCCAATAGTATCCCATCCTGAGTGCTCTGTTGGCCAGGTTTCTTCCTCCTAAATGGTTTCCGCATTCACCAATGTGTAGGGACTGTAGGACCTGCTGCGCTTCTTCATTTTTTAAGCATCGTAAGAAGGGACCTGCTATAGACTTTTTGAAGAGTACGTTTCTGATTAGGCAATACTTTGAGGCCTTTAGGGCAAGTGCTTGGGCTGCCACTTTCCCTGCTGGTACTGTTTTGTCCAGGAGGTAATCCTTGAGAGGTTTCGTCCAACTGCTTTCTTCCTCCCCTGTAGGGTCTGTTTGGATTTCCTGGACATTCATAGTTGCTTCCTTTTCTATAGCTAGAGAGAGTACGTGTACTAGGGGGATGGCTCCAAATTCTTCAGGGTTAATATTTGACCCCAAGGCGTCTCCTTTAGTGTTTAAGTTCCTGGGTACTTGGTCTACCTTGAATTCCTTAAATTCCTTAATGAGCCTTCTTGTGACTTCTAGGTAGGCTATCATCCTGGCGTCCTTTGTTGCGTATTCCCCACTGATTTGATTTACCATGAGTAAGAAATCCGAGATTACCTCTAGATGTTGTATTTTCATATCTCTTGCGACAGTTAACCCTGTGATTAGTGCTTCGTATTTGGCCTCATTGTTGGTGGCTTTGAAGTTACACCTTATTGCTCGTGCTATTTTGTCTCGCTGTGGTGATGTCAGTACCATTCCCAGGCCTACACCGCCTATGTTTGCTGCACCATCTGTATGGAGTGTCCATTTCTGCGTAGCCTTTGGTTCCTGTAAGGCCAATACCTCTTTTTGTGCTTCTTCCTCAAGGGCTGGGCTAAAATCTGCTACAAATTCTGCTAGAGCTTGTGACTAGATTGCGGTTCTGGGCTCATATTGTATATCGTACCTGCTCAGATGTAGGGCCCATTTCTTCATCCTTCCTGACATTTCTGGCTTTCTCATGATGGCCTTGATGGGGTAGTTGGTCCGTACTCGTATAGAGTGGCTTTCAAAGTATGGGCGTAGCTTTATTGAAGCAGTAACTAAAGCTAAAATGATTTTCTCAAGGATGCGTACCTTGTTTCCGCACTTAGTAGGGTTTTGCTTACGTAGTAGATTGAGAATTGCTCTTTGTCTTCTTCCCTGGTGAGGACTGCGCTGATCGTCCCTTCTGATACTACGAGGTAAAATTGGAGTGGCTCCCCTTCTTTAGGTTTGGAGAGTATCAACGGGTTGGCCAAGTATTCCTTTAACTTTTGAAATGCTTCGTCGTGCTCTTGTTCCCATTTGAATTCCTTATTCTTCTTCAGGACTTCGTAGCAGGCTCTTTTCTTGTCTGAAGATTTCAAGATGAACCTGTTCAGTGCTGCAATCTTCCCTATTAAGCTTTGTACCTCCTTCTTTGACTTTGGTCGTTCCAGATCCAGGATGGCTTTGACTTGGTCTGGGGTGGCTTCAATTCCTCTTTGCGTTACCATGTATCCTAGGAACTTTCCTGACTGAACTCTGAATGTGCACTTTGTAGGATTTAACTTCATGCCTGACTGCTTCAAGATAACGAAGGCTTTTCTAAGGTCTTTGACATGATCGGCTGCCTTCTTGGATTTCACTACCATGTCGTCTATGTAGACCTCCATTGTGTTTCCGATCTGTTCCTCAAACATCTTGTTCACCAACCTCTGGTATGTCGCTCCTGCGTTCTTCAATCCAAAAGGCATTATCTTGTAGCAGTGGATTCCCTGACTAGTGATGAAAGCGGTTTTTTTCTTGGTCATCTTTGTGCATTAGGATTTGATTGTACCCACTATATGCATCCATGAAGGATAGCAGCTCGTGCCCTGCTGTTGCGTCTACCAAGGCGTTAATGTGAGGTAATGGGAACGAATCCTTTGGGCAGGCCTTGTTGATGTATGTGAAATCGATACAGATTCGCCATTTTCCATTCTTCTTTTAGACAACCACTACGTTAGCAAGCCATTCTGGGTACTTTACTTCTCTAACTTTTCATGTCTTCAACAGGTTTTGGATTTCTTCATTGATGACCTTGTTCCTTTCTGGCGCAAATTTTCTTCTTTTCTGCTTTACTGGCGTATGCATCAGATCTACGTTTAGTTTGTGGGTGATCATGTCTGGGGGGATGCCCTTCATGTCTTCGTGAGTCCAAGCGAATGCATCTTTTTCTTCCTCTAAGAATTCATAAATTTGCTGACGAAGGTCTGAATTCTATTCTGACCCTATTCTGACCTTCTGGTCTGGGTGATTGGGGTCCAGCTAGACTTCTGTGGCGTCTTGTTCTTTTGCTATATTAAGCTTCTTTTGGCCCAACTGACCCTCTGATTGCTATGCTGAACCCTTCTCTGCAGATGTTGCTTTCAGGGCAACCTTGTAACATTCTTTAGCTTCCTTAGGGTCCCCTTTGATTTCTTGAATGCCCCATCTGGTAGGAAATTTAATGACTTGATGATATGTGGAGGGGATGGCTCTCATCTCATGTATCCATGGTCTGCCTAGAATCATATTGTACGATGATAAGGTGTCGATTACTAGGAACTTGACTTGTAAATTGACCCCTTTTGCATAGGTGGCTAATGTGATCTCCCCACTTGTCTTCTTGGTTTCCCCACTGAATCCTACTAGCATTGTTGACTTGTTGATGATGTTCTTTTCATCGATGTTCATGTGCTTCAAGGTATCAAGCATGATGATGTTTGTAGAGCTTCCATAGTCAACAAGGATTCGCTTGATCATACAGTTTCCAACTGAGAGCGAAATTACCAGGCCGTCATGATGTCCTTCCACTGCATCGCTCTCTTCGAACATGATAGGGATCTCCATTTTTTACCTTTCTCTTCTGTCAGACTGATCCTTATTGCTTTCTTTCGCATGCTGCTTCGCTGCTGAGTATGTTAGGCCTGTCGCTCTTTCTAGGCCACTGCACGGTTTCTCCCATTTTGTTCAGGGTCCTAATTACTCCTGTAGGGTTAACATTGAAACAGTATTCATGCAATTTAGGTGGGAGTTTAGGATCTTCCCTCCAATCTGAGAATTCTTCCTCGACAACATTGACTGATCCTTCATCAGAGCGGGAACGCTGATACGGTTTGAATCGATGATCTCTCCTGGGAAAGTTGTTGCTCCTTCTTGACTGGCGATCTGGCTCGGGGGTCTTTCTTGCGTAGACATCTTCTTCAAATCTGACTTGAGCCATAGCTTTGGCCTGCACATCCTCGAAGGTCGTATAGGGATATTTGGTCAGCTCTTTAGAGCTCTTTATGGTCTAGCAACCCTCTTCTGAATGCTTCGATTGTTGTAGGAGCATCGCATTTGTGTATCCCAATCTTCTCCATGTTGAACCTGTTAAGATAGTTCCTCAAGGATTCTCCGTGTCTTTGCACAACACGGTACAGATCTGAGGATTGCTTCTCGATTTTTCTGTTGCTAGTAAACTGGATCTTGAATAGATTCACTATCCCTATAAAACATGAAATTGTCCCATTATCTAAATTAATGAACCAAGTTAGGGCTGGACCTGATAACGTGGCTCCAAAGCCTTTGCACATGATGGCTGCTCTGATCTCTCTAGGGATTGAGCTCCTCATCATCTTTTGTTTGTAAAGGGACACGTGCTCATCAGGTCTGTTGTTCTGTCATACATGGCCATATTGGGCGTGCTGAACCTCTTAGGCACTTCTACCATGGAGATCTCTTCTGAGAAAGGAGACTCTATATAGCCATCCACTGCTTCTTCTTCCATGGGCTTTGGCACTCTAGGGATTTTGGCGATCTTGGCCTCAAATGCCTTGAGGTACTCCTTAACCACCTTCTCTATTTTTCCCTGCTCAACTCCTTCCTGTCTATCCTCCTTGAGACTTCCTGTATCCAGAGAATCAAGTTCTAGGGGAATTTCCCTGTTATTAGATCTTTTTTCCCCGTTAGGGGTGTGGAAGGTTCCTGACATATCAAGCTGCATGGCTATACTTTCGGTACTTTTCCTGGTGTTAACAGTTTTGGATGCAACTGGTTGTATTTGGCTGCGGAGGGCTTCATTTTGTTTGGTTAAGCTAGTGAGTTTGGCTTCGATTTAAACCTTTTGGGCCAACAATGTTTCGATTTGGCTTTTCTGCTGGTCTAAGGTTTGACGGAATGCGTTCATTCCTTCAATGATTTTGGCAATGGTAAAGGGTACTGGCTGTTCAGTCATGGTGATTGTCTTGATTTTTGGTGAGTTGGTAGGTTAATTGATTATCAGCCCCACGTTGGGAGCCAAATTGTTTAGGCTAATCTCAGCTAAGACATTTAATAACTTGCTAGGTTTTGATGGGTAATAACAATCATTCCACCAATAATATATAAAGCAATTTAGAACGATAACAAGGAAATAAATAACAATAAACAAGCAATATATATTCAATAAGAACAAAGAGACAAGTTTAGAGGTACAATACTGAGTAAGGACAGGCTTCCTTGTTCAACAGGGAGGAAGATCCGTAGACAAAAGTAGAATAACTAGTTTATATTAAAATATCAGTGAGCGTACATGAGTGTTATAATGTCTGACTTTTCCTATTTATACCTAGAAACTCCTAGGGTTTCATAGATACTGAATATATATTCAAAGTGTAGGAGATCTCTTTAATTTATTCTCTTCCTTGTTCTGTAGGTGTATTTTTGGCAAGTATCTTCTTGATTGATATTCTTGATTTCGCTTTCCTTTCTTGTTTCAATCAAGCCGCTTTGTCTGATTTGTTATACTTCTTGATCATGGAGTGGTGCCCTAAATGTACTGGGTCGTATATTAATATGAGCCCAACACCAACCATTACATTTTTAATCTTGGTCGGCTATTCGGCCTCGGCTATTTCCCTGGAGAATGCAGAAGGTTGTTCACTAAGGTTTTGTAGCCAAAGCTACCATTCCAAAGGCTAATAGTTATATGCCGCTTGTCCTCCACAGAAGGCAGGCTGGATGTAGGGCAAAGCAGACGGTCGGTATAATGACTGTGCCACATAATGCGCCGAGTTGATCACATGGGGCCCTGACAATACGAGGGGGCCACTTGATGGGGTCCCCTGTACTGAAGGAGAATTCTTCACAGAGGTATTCTGGAAGCTATCATGATAAGTCGACGTTGAAGACGACTCTAACAGTTGATGGGTCCTCTTCTCCTGGATGTATTGACGGGCATCAGAAAAAGATTTTTTGCTACCATCTGTCTGTACATGCCGGATGGCTTTTCTTGTCACCGTTTCCGGGAATCGGGGTCTTGAAATGTCGAACTGGGGTCGAGCCTTCTCCTTTGAAGCAGAATGAGGAGTCAACTAACGATCTTGGACCAACTTTTGCTTTCCAACTTGAGCTGGCTTTGTGGACGACTGTTCCTTTCTAGGAGCAGCCGACTGTTTGTTGATTAGATCCTTAATTTAACCTTTGAGGCTGCTCATGATTTCATGAGCTCATCGCGGGTGACTTGGGCTAATCCTGCCGCATGGGAGGGATCAACCAGCTGCCCTGAGGGCTTACTTGAGTGTCCTGGGGGCCTGCTCGAACCCGCCTGGGTATCATTGCGCTTGCGCCTATCTTTGTGACGGAGGCGCTTAGAGATGAGTGACCCGTCTGGAGCCACAAAGGTTTCGATTTCTCCATCGTCACCTGAATCATGGTGTGACTGGACCTCTATTTCTTCTAGAGGTTGGTTGGTCTCTGGAGCCGACACAGGTTGCTCTTGTGAAGCCATCTTAAAGGTACTCTCCCCACAGACAGCGCTATATGTTTCGGGGTTTTTGAGTCCCTTGGGAGAGTTACAACTTAAAGACTGGATTCGCCAAGATTGCTTGTACCTTCAAAACAAACGGAACTCCGAGTGGTCGGAGGTCCGCCTTCGAAGATTAAGTTAGTACGGAACCAGAGTAAAACGTGCGAAAAGTAGGTTATCTGCTCGGATTCCAAGCTCAGGTGTTCTCTGTTTTAGAGAGCAATAAATGCCTTAATGATTAAGACGTAAAGTTTGAGGTGACAAAAGACTGTCCCAATAAATGGGGGAATCTCCCTATTTATAGGGTCCTAGGAAAATGTGTCATAACCTAGGGTTTGATGACCTAGGGATTAGGGCAGCGCTGTTTTGCGGCACCCTAGAAGTTAGGGCCTTGAAGGCCGCCTTTTCCAAAGAGGGAATATATGAGTTACACGTGTCATGCATCAGGAGGGTCCATTTAGACACCTCCTAGAGTGACATGTGTCAATCTCTTATTGGTCCACTTGGGGGTATTAAATACCGCAAATCACATTCAAAAAAAGCTTTTTAAACCAAATGAAAGTCAAACACATTCAAACAAAGATTTTTAAATCAAATGAAAGTCAAACACATTCAAGCAAAGCTTTTTAAATAAAATGAAAGAAAAACACATTCAAACAATGCTTTTTCAATCGATCGGAAGTCAAACACATTAAAACAAAGTATTTTTAATCGAATGAAAGTCAAAGGCATTTAACGAAGCTAATTGATTCAAATGAAAGTTAAACACATTCAAACAAAGATTTTTGAATCAAATGAAAGTCAAACATATTCAAACAAAGCTTTTTGAATCGAATGAAAGTCAAATGCATTCAAGAAAGCTAATTAAATAAAATGAAAGTCAAACACATTCAAACAAATCTTTTTGAATCAAGGGAAAGTCAAAGGCATTCAAACAAATCTTTTTGAATAAAATGAAAGTCAAACATATTCAAAAAAAAGCTTTTTTAGTCAAATGAAAGTCAAACACATTTAAACAAAACTTTTTAAATCGAATGAAAGTCAAATGCATTCGACGAAGCTAATTGAATCAAATGAATGTCAAACACATTCAAACAAAGCTTTTTGAATCAAATGAAAATCAAACATATTCGTGTTGACTTTGCGTTGACTTTTCTCTCTTCTCTCTCTTCCATGGTTCTATTATTTTAATGGTTTTTCTTCCTTGAGATCTTTAACAATGGAAAAGAAGAAGAAACAAGCTACTCCTCTCCCCCAAACTGCTGTAAAACAGACTCATATAGCTCCAATTGATAAGATTCTTGAAAGTTTAAGGAATTCTGGGTCTACTTTTAACCTAGATTCGATTGATAAAGTTGATGAACTTGTTACTCCAGCTCCTAGATTAGTTCATCCATCTGCTGGAATGTTGCCCCGGAGTGATGTAAACACCATTGCTGCAGCTAAGGACCTAAATTTTAGCTCGATTTCAAAGGATTTCAATAGAACATTACCTAGGGTTTCTCCAGTTACTGTTCCATTGGATTCTATTTTTGATACTTCTTCTCTCCCCAATCCGAATGTTCCTATGCCAAATGCTGATCTACCTGAACATTTTGAGGGATTAGTAGCTCCTGATTTAAAGAATGATACCTCATTCCGTGAAAACTTGCTGCAAAGGGATCTGCTTTGTCCTGTGTTGCTTCTATTATTAAGGAAGGTAAGCTTGTTGCTAAATTGGTTTCTGCTGATTTTCTAGAAGGCAATAAGAAGTGGTGTAATGTTGTAATTAACTATGTTGTGGGGTACTACCCTACTATTGCTGTTGTGCATAGGTTCATAGCTCAGAACTAAAGTGATTTTGGAAAACAAGAAATCTTCTAGCTTGATGATGGTTATTTTGTTATCAATTTACATTCTGCAGCTAATATGAATACTTTGTTGTGCTCTGGACCCCATATGTTTTATGGAAAACCTGCGATTGTTAAACCTTGGAGTGAAAAGTTTAATTTTCACTCTGAAGTGCTCAGAACAATCCCTTTATGGGTCAAGCTCCCAAACTTGCTCTTGAAATGTTGGGGAACTGATACCCTAAGCAAAATTA